TATATATATATATATATTTATTTTTTTTTTTTTTTATATATATATTTGTATGTATGTATATATATATATATATATAAATATATATATATATATATATATCTATATATATATATATATATATATATATATATATATATATATATATATATATATATATATATATATATATATATATATATATATATATATATATATATATATATGTATATATATATATATATATATATATATATATATATATATATATATATATATATATATATATATAAACATACACACACACACACCTCGGCAGATGATTTTTTTTTCTCAAAGATTTAAGCTTATATTTTGATAGTTTTTACTATGTTTTTTTTTATTGCAAAAAGACAAAATCCTAAGATTTAAAGTTACAATATTTTATTTTTATTTTATTTTTTTTATTTTGATACGCATACATTAAAAATATAATCTAAAATATAAAAATAGAATCTAGATTTCAATTCATTCTATTCATCAAAGAATGAGTAAATATGTTACAATATAGAAAAATGTACAATACTTCTATATTATTATTATTATTATTATTATTTATACATAAATATTGCTAAATATATTAATTATTGTTAATATTTTATTGAATTAACCACAACAAATACATCAAATAATCATTGGTAAAGTTCTTACTGTAGTATTTCTCACAAAAGTCACGTGCTTCCTTCATGTTTGTCACCCTTATGTTTGTTTGATGCAGCTGAGGCAGAGATTGAGGCACACTCTGGCCCTGTTTACACTAGTACATTTTAGTTTTAAAACAGCGTTTTAGAATAAAAAAGATTCACGTTATAACGAGGAGACTGACACAAAGGGATCCATTTTGCAGTATTTAATAGCCACAGTTCAATCACAAACATACAACACACACTAAAATGCGAACTCACATCAACAGCATTCAATATAGATCGTGAGGCTGGTGGCTGACAGACACAGAGTGAGTTACCAGGCATGGGTCAAAGGCAGGCAGCGTGGTTCAGAGTCCGTATAACAAGCATGGGTCAAGGGCAGGCAGAAGGCAACTCAGAGTCAGAAACAGTCCGGGGTAATACACAAAAGATCAGGCAGGGAATAACGCTCAGAAATGTTGGCCATGGCTGAACAAGACTTCGCAATGAACTGGTGTTTGAGTGTGGCTTATATAGGGAGCGTGGGTCGTTAACGGGATTCAGTTCAGGTGTGTGCACAATCAGTTTAGGTGGATGATGTAATGCTTAGAAGTCCGGGGATGGCGGCCTCTGCTGGCCAGCAAGGGGAATGACTGGGACCGAGTCGGTGACACACGTCCACATTAGCGTTTCACTCAGCGTTTCTAAACAACTCTCCGTCTACACCACACCACTGAAAACACACATAAAGTGACCACACACACCTACTCTGGCATGCGCTGCAGCATATCTAGCCAGATGTGAGCTGTGCTCGTCGGTCTGTTCATCAAGGATCTCCCGCTGGATCTAATCTCACTATATTTGTTAAACGTGATATTTAATTAATCTTGTTGTCTATATCTAACAACATATTCCCCCAACTTTGGTGTTTTGAATCTATTACTTGTTCTCAGGTAACGTGTTTTGGCTGAGCGCAAAGAGAAGTTAATAATTAATGTAACCACATACGTTCTTTATATTGACTGATCGCTTGCCTTTACTTCCTATAATGTATAAACTTATTGTACGTTATACTTTTATAATGGCCATTATTGATTATTTACACTGATATTCAGCAAAAGAGAGGCTATGTTTCATATTTTCACTGAAAAAGAAAGGAGGTAGTGATGTTATAGGCTCAGTTTTGTTATGAATAGGCATGCAGTGAAGATGACACTCATATATGCAGCACGACGCCTCAACATTTCTGCTGTCTGTTAAGTTTTTAATATCAAAATGAAAATAGCAGTTCCTTATTTCATGTTTTAATTTTATTGTTCAGATATTGAAACACCGTATGTATCCAGGATGATGTGAATAAGGTTATAAAGTACACTGTTCCCTCTGGAGATTTACCCGACGTGTCCTCTGGAGTCTGTTTTCTATATTAAACTTGTGAAGTCTGAACTTACAAGGAGATGATGCAGGACTGAACTGTGTGTGTTAGGCTACTTAATATTGAGGAAAAGACCCAATCAGAGAGGCGAATGTCTGCAGCCCCGTCTCCGTTTTCAGATGTCTCCGTTTTCCCCAATCCACACTGGGAGGGAGCAGCAGCGTTTGCAGTGAAAGGGGCCTCTTCAGCGTTTCCAAAACGCTCCCTTTCGGTGCTCGAAAACTCTGGCGTAGTGTTGACGGATGTCGTAACCGTAGCAAAACTTATGCGTTTTAAAACGAAAACGCATTAGTGTAAAGGCATGTGGGAACAGTGGGCGGTGAGAACCAGCATTAAAGGCATAGACCACAAAAACAGCTACATTGTGTTAAAGCAAAAAATTCAAACATTTTTAAAGGTGTATTAAATAATCTGATGGGTGTTTTTGAGTTGAAACTTTACAGACACATTCTGGAGACACAAACGACTTTTCTTAAACCTAAAAATCTTTAATGAAGGCAGCATTGATTCGCTTGGAGCCGTTTCGAGTCCACTAGATTCTTTTAGAGGTGCATCCGGCTCTGAGCTCATAAACTCCTCTAGAAACTTAACCTGGATGATGGAGGCTTTCAGCAGTGCTTCTGATTGAGCCGAGCCCAGTTTGATGAACTGTTGTTGGTGTGTGCAGGAGGATTTTCCCCAGGACACCAACAACAGCCGCTATGTCATAAAGTGGAGGAACTATGACGTCACTTTGTAGGCTAATCGGCTGCTAGCATAAAACTGGTTCCCTCGTGAAAATCCCTATAGGATTTTCCCATAGGGTTTTCGAAGATTGCAAATAATAAGCTCTGTGTTCAAACACGGTTCATTACACTTGCACGTTTTGTTCAGCCGGATAATCCTCACACGAAAATACAACTTTGAGCACTTTTGGATCTTAAATGCAAACGCAAGAGTTGAAAAGCTCACATTAGGCTATAATTGGACTACAGAGCCCTCGGGGCGCTCGTCAGTGACGTCAGCCCCACCCTGCTACAGACGACTTATCAAGCTTATTATTAGAAATAATGTCCATGACAAAGAGTTAATCTCTCTGTTCATTACATTATAATCCACGGTATATATTATAAACTAATAAATACGCAAACACACATAGACCTTTGTGCCTTTTGGATCGTTTTTACGTGGGAAATACATCTGTTTTGCTTTGCGGTTGTTCTAAAAGTTTTAAAAATGTGTATGAATGTGCCTACATAGTATCATCATAAGACATTTGAATAAGTGTATCGCTCGCGTGCACACAGCCCGCTTACCTTAAAACAGACGACAGAAACGAGGCGTGAGGAGAAACAAGTCAATCAAATGCCTGCAAGTTCCATCATCATGGACAGAGCAACATTCAATATTCCTTTTTTGTCACGAATTACAGCGAAAAGCAGCTTATACAGTCACATCTGCTGAACGTTTTATGGAGGAGTGTAAATACTGCAGTTAAATGTGTTCAGATGAAGAAAAAAAGACAAAAAATCACTTGATCACGTTAAAATGACAGTTAACATGCATGTATTTTTACACATTTATTTACACGTTTGCATTACTGAGAGCAGGAAAGAAACAGGCTGCTGCACTGGTGAGCAGTATCTTCATAATATCGTTTAATTAAAATAAATGATCAACAAATTAGTCTGTCTCGACAGCCTTTATAAGTGAAGGAATTGTCTACACACAATCTGAATTCCTAATTAAAATAATACTACAAACTATAAAATACTATTCATGAAAATACTTAAATAACAGGCAAATCCAAACGCCCAACACAAGCAGGCTGCGCTCCAGACCAGATCAGCTCGATGACGTATATTGTCCCCGACGCCGCCTGTAGTCCCATTTAGCAACTTGACAGCAACCGTCTTTTTAAAGAAGCATAATCGATTTAAAAGTTGAAGAGTGTGCTGTAACTGATGTGTTTTATGTCGTAGAACAAAACGTGAAAGTATCTTAAGTTGGTGTTAGCCACGGACCTTATTTAAGCGATTTTACTGAAACCCCTTTCAAAAAACCCATTGACTTTGGGACGAGGGAACCGGAGGTGCTAAAATGCTAACTCGCTTCCGGGTTTTTGCATACAAATTGACGTCATAGTTCCTCCACTCTATAATCATGCCCCCACAAGAGCAAGCTCCTGACTGGTTAATGCGGTGCGAATGTCTGCTGAAGTTCAGATTCTCGAAATTCTCGAGTTCGCGTGATTTGCATGTTAAGTGCATCAAACGAGCAAAATGCTCAATTCGCGCAGTGCCATTCGTGCAATTTTAGGCGCGTGCCATTCGCGCCTCGTCATTTGCGTGTATCGCGCCGCAGGATGTCTAATTGCGCCTTTGCCTTGACTTCACACGTTAATCACTCGCGCTTGACGCTCCTTCCGCTTCTTAACCCTAACCCTCTCTCCTTTATATTTTGTAGTACTGTATTTATACCATAGTAATTTTATTTTTTTGTGGTTAATTATTGTGATCTCCCAATTGCAACAGAGAAATACTAAGAAATCTCTGTGGACTGATGGCATTTCATTCTGCTTTATAATCTTAAAATGTGAGCAAAATCAGCTGTTTTGTCATCGCTTTAGACATTACGCTAGAGAATCATTCAAGTACTAGCTCTAAAGTGACATTTGTGAAGCAGTAACGGTTTCTGCTGTTCTGACATCAGCTGCAGATGTGAATAAACAGCAAAAGAAAGTAGTTCCTCTTTTAGACACACTCATAGCAGTGCCATGTGGCTAGTGGGAAACTAAGGAAATTAGCCTGTGGCCTCGAGCCAACGCACGCCTCCTAGCAGTGTTGATATACAGCCATTTCGCACTGCTACTCATGTGATGTTGCTCTTATAAATATAATTATAGCTAATATATTTGATCACATATGTATATATTTGTACTTAATACATTTAAATTACTATTTTTGCAACATTTTTAATTATATGTTGCACATATTACACATATTTAGATATCTGAAATCCAAACATGATCTTTATAACACTAATGGACATTTTCTGACTTATCACTGTTATGCTCACCAAGGTTGCATTAAAAAACAAAGTAAAAATTGTTATTATTATATTAATTATTATAGTAAATATTATTACGATTTACAATAACAGTTTTCTATGTGATCGTACTGCAAAATGTACTTTACTCCTGTGATCGCCCTGACTTTTCTGCATCATTATTCCAGTCTTCAGTGTCACATGACCCTTCAGAAATCCTTTTAATGTGCTGATTAGATGCTCAAGAAAAGCACATTTGTAAGTAAAATCAGTCTTAAAAGCTGTTGTGCTTATTTGATGAATAGAATGAATTGAAATCTAGATGCTAAATATTTTAAATGCATGCATATCAAAATAAAACAAAATGATCATTGTAATTTTAAATCTTAGGATTCAGTCTTGCAATTTGTAAAAAAAAATAATAATAATTGCGAGATATAAGCTTAGACTTTGAAATGAAAGTAAACAAATTATGTTTTTTTTATATACATTTCTTTGGCAGAAGCAAACATAAGCATATATGATTTAACTACATAGATCTAAGCTTATCGTAAGAAAAAAAAGTTAATATATTTTTAAAAAGGACAGAAATATTGTTTATTGTTGTATATTGTACCATATTCACTAATTTGAAACGTTAAAAAACCTATTTACTTTCTTTGCTCTATTGGGATTTTGTGCCTTAAAGAAAGTCAACAATGCTGATTTCTCAATAAACCTGGCTAAATAAAGTAGACTATTTCTTTAAGAAATCATAGTTGAAAGCAAACCATGCTGATATGGAGTAAAATGACGGAATTAAAATTTTGGGGTCAACCCCTCACAACAAAATACAAAGAGATCTCAAATAAATCATCTGGATCATTGTACGCTCATCTGTTGTTCAGATTACCATTGTCGGTTCTGTACATACATCACTGAATAACTCAAGAAAACGCTCTATATTGAGTATAGAAATGGAGTGAAGTGCTAAAGTTAATCCTCTGTGCAATAATTTCTGGCCAGAGATTGTAGAGTAAATGCTTGATTTTAATCTTTATAACCCAGAAACAGCTGTGCTTGTTGTAAATCATGTGCATTACATCACATGACTTACTGTACATACACATGTGGAAGAAAACACACCGGATTTTACAATACAGAGCATTTTTTTCCAGCTGATTTTACGTCTTTATGGGTCAAAGTTGAAAAATGTAATACAGATTTATATTTTTCACTGTATATTAAAATGTGTGTATATATAATTTTTTATTTTTTTTCTCTCTCTCTCTACACTATTTGTAGTCCAGCGGCACTAACCTGAGACGGGACATTTTTTGGCGGCTCTATCCTGATGGAAGGATCCCATTCTCCTGGAGGCAGAACTGTCACTTGGTCCAGAAATTCATCAATCCCAGCAATCAGATCATTGCGGTCTTTAGCTTTATAGGCCACATCATGGAACACCTACAAATGACAAAACCAAAACAGCAGATACAAAAAAAATTTGATTATTTTTGACACACAATAAAAAATATATATATACAGTATATATATATATATATATATATATATATATATATATATATATATATATATATATATATATATATATATATATATATATATATATATATATATATATATATATATATATATATATATATATATATATATATATATATATATATATCTATAT